TGTGTGTGAGATTGAACATAGATCATGTATATTATAACTCTCTTTTTGTCTCTGAAAGCTCTTGTATATTCATAAAGGAAGTTATTTACAAAAGCTCTTTCAAACTGCATCCTAGTAAAGGAAGGTGGAAATCTAGGCCCTACTTAGAATATAGGCCAGATTTGAGTTCAAGGCCCAAGTTAATGAAGACAAGCTTTTATTTTTATAACAAGTAATAATTAAGTTTTTAAGTCCAAGTAAAGATGGGAAACTCAATAATATATAAATACTAACCCTAAAAAGATTGTAAGGGATTAATGTCATTGTATACAGTTTTGGTATTGTGAAAGCACTCTCTTTGTGCATGATATTTTTCTCTATGGGATTTTCCAGGAAAATCATATGTTCCTCTTCAGTTTACATTTCTTTTGCATTTACAATAAGTAAAATGACTTATTGATGTATGAATATAAGAAATAAAAATGTATGTTAACAAGTTATCATAACACTAATTTTTTGAAAGTCCTTTTCCACAGAGCAAGTAGAGGATTAGCCTATGAGATTTAATTCTACTTCTTCACCTTGAAGAGAGCGTAATTATAGCATAAAAAAATAAATTATAGCAAAGATTTATACCTTCAGGTTTTGCCTCTATCTGATGACCTTTTATATCTTTCCTCTATTGAATTAATTGCGCACTTTGTTGATGAAAAGATGTTGATATGAAATTGTGAATGTATATATAGATGAAGAAAAGATGTCTTACTCCTGGACAAAGAAACGAATCGCAGAATAACCGAAGGCAAAAGCAAATTAACAAGTGGAATCATTTTCCTCAACTTTTTGGCCGAAGAGTAAAGCCACATATGATGAAGAAAGAATTTTAAAACGGGCAACAAGATGCAAAGAATTTGTCGAAAGGGTGTTCCGGCCGGTATCATCATTCTTTTATAAAGGGAAAGTAAGGTATAAGATTTAAATGATAGGAAAAAAATAAAAATAAAAAGGCACTGAGGATCACCAAAAAGAGGTGCAGGGTTATAACTTTTGTCTTAAGTACTTAGATTCAGTTTGAAAGCGATGCCTTATAATTATAGTTGTAAGTTTTTTAGTCTTTTAAAATTATAAAAATATATTTTTATATAAATATAGTGTATAAATATAAATAAATTTTATACACTATATTTATATAAAATCTTAATAATTTATTTTTTTTAATTTTAATAATTAAAATTTATCATGATTTTTTATATAAAAAATTAATTATATTTAATAAATATAACAAAAAATGAATAAATTTCAATAATTAAAAATAGAGAAATAAATTATCAAGATTTATATTAATATAATATCTAAAATTTATGTGTAAGTAGATATTAACTCATTTAACATATTTAATATTTATTTTGATTAATATATATTTAAGACATGGTAGCTCACTTTGTTTTTCAGCAGCAAAGATTCTGCTTCCTAAACAAAATTCTTGTCAACACTCAACTGTCCATATGATGAATTCTGCATTTTGCATATATTGAACACATGTTAAAACCTTTTTCACCCAAAAACAGCTACAAAATTACGAGCGGTCAAGCCAGCGATTTGAGTTCACTAATAAAGCATGTACCTTCGTATGACTTGCATCTCACTCTTCCCCATTTTGTACCTACATCATAAATCTCCAATAATATGAAACAATAAAAAAAAATTGTGCCTATCAAAATAATTTCATCAGTTGGACTTCCGAGAAAATGCATAACCCTATAACAGGAGACAAAAAAAAAAAAGAAGAAAAAAACACGACAAAAGGTAATAAAATCAAATCTATGCTTCACCTGGCAATTACCACATGAATTGAAATTTACTTCCCTGTCCTTCCTCTTGGTTTATATGTATCAATGCTTCCTTCCGATCAGAATCTGCGCCATGCTTGTAATAATAATTCAGGCAGATGTTAGAGAAATCATTGACAATTAAGAATTGCTTTCTAAATGGGGCTTAGAAACATCGTGCAGTGATTGAGAAGTTGATTCTTTGTAGATTTAGTCTGTAGTTTGTGCCGAAGGTATTAGCCTAAAAAAAGTGCTAGAAAACAAGCTCCTCCTGCGATGTACGGCAACCTTGTTTGACCCACCCAATTCTTACATCCATCACCATCATATACATACCGAAGAACAAAGTAATTTCACTCAGATCAGGATATGCTGCAGCTTGCTAGGATAGCAAAAAATATTTTACAGTTATACGTATCTCTAATGGAGAGAAGATGCAAGTATTATTAATAATAAAGCAGCTACAATCGTCACAAATTTCTTACCAAATTTTTATTCATCAATTTTCAGCCATTAAATTTTCTACTTCTTTTCATTGTCATTTGGCATTTTTTTTGCTATTTCTTTTTTTTTTTTTTTACAGTCAAAATTATATTAGTAGTATTAATATATGTTCAAAAAAAAAGAAAGAAGATCGAGCATTAAGCTCGACTTTAAGAGTAAAGTGCCTGCACTTTACTTCTCAAATGAAAAGCGTGACCATGGAACGACATGGTGGTGAGCTCTTTTTTGCTATTCTATTTGCTGTAGTTTAGTTGAAATTTTCAATTGTCTTTCTCTGTTAAAATATGACATGATAGCATGAATAATGCTGTCACATCTTTGACTGTAAAGTTAATTTTAGACCGGTTAAGATATTGTTTTTAGATTTTTTTTTTTCTATCATAAAGGTTTAATTCTTTATAAGATTATCAATGTCTAGTTATTTTTATTTTTTGAATACTTGGTCCTAACCACTAACCCTTTGATGACATGAAAGTTTCAGTGAATTTTTTGAAAAAACCTTGAATATTTAGGTTGAGTTGTGCACATAATTAGAATGAATTTTTTTCTTGGGACAAAGAATAAGTGGGTTGTATTAATCCAAATTTCACATGAGATACTTACATTAATCCCAATCCACGTTAGGGGTGTTCATATCTAATCCAAATTCGATTAATCCGACATAAACTGATCCAATTCAATAAAAAATAGATTCAAACCGATATAAAATTGGGTCGGTTTAAATTAGAAAATTTTAAAACCGATATAATTGGTTTGATTTATGATTTTACCTTCAAACTGTCTAAATTGTCCGATTACAAAATAAAATCTGATTACAATATAACTTAATTAAATAATATAATACATTTTTTGTAGTATTTAAAATTTTTTTTTCTTATTTTATAAGATAATAACTCCATTAACTTAATTAAAAAATAAAAATAGAATATCTCAATATTCCTTAAGTTATTTTTTCATTTTAATCATACACTCTAACCCTAATTCTAAATTTTTAATTCACCTGCAACTCTATCCCATCAGAATTGGTTTACACCTTTACTCTTAAAACCCTAAATTTTTAATTTATTCTTAAAATAATCTTATGATTCTCCTAACTAAATTTTAAATAAATATCATTCTAAAAGCCTTAAAACTATATAATAAAATTAATCTTGATATTCTACTATTCTTGAATATTTGGTTTAAAAGTTTTAAATTTTGATATTATGAATGTTTCTAATCAATTTAAGTGATATTCATGTTAAATTTTATTCACTCTGAACATGATTTAGAATATGAGATTAAATTATTAGTTCATTAAGAAAAAAACTAATTTTAATTTTTAAGAATTATTTACGTTATGCTAGAAACTTGAAGTCAACTTTTATTGTTCTTAGTGCCTCTAGCGATGTAACCAAGAAAAATTTTTAGATTTTTTTAATTTTTACAAATGTAAAGGAGTATAAAAACTTATTTATAATTTATGTTTTTTATTATATTTTTACTGATTTGCATGCTAATGTATTTTATGGTTATGCTTTTTATTTGATGGTAAAATATTTTTACATTATCTTATATATTTAATAATGTTAAAAACTTATCAATCCGATTGAATCACATCGATTCAATTTAAATTAGATTTGTTTGGTTATCATATAATAGTGAATTGAATTGATTTAAAAATTTTATTAACCGATTAAATTAGATTGATTTAAAAAATATTAAAATTCGAACCAAACCACACCGCGAACACCCTTCGTCTAGGTAAAATCAAAATTTTTTTATTAATAATATTATATGAGATTAATGTTTATTTGCTTTATCTTTTCAAAATTAAGAGAAATATCATTTCAAAATTACATACTTTTAATAAAGCACTAAAGAAAAAATATTTTAATTCATATTTTAAAAGTAATGTATTTTAAACTTTTTCGATAAAAATTTATTGAAATAATGTAATTTTAAAATAATTTTTTTTTAATTTTTAAAAAGTAAAACAAACAAAAACTATTCTTATATTATATATTTACTCTTTTAATATTATAATATATTTATTAAATATTATATTATTACTATAAATTTATAATTTTATATAATATTATAATTATAATATTTCTTATGTAAAACTTAAATCTACCACACAAATCTTGTTTCCTTTAAAACTCAATTAAAGGGATTAAGATCAACTCCGACATCGAGAAGTCCCCTGTGGTCCAGTGGCCACTCATATGTAAAATCTAAGAGTTTCAAACTTCATTCTCGCGTTCAAAAAAAAAAAAAAAAACCAACATCGTAGTTGGAACAAATGTCCTCCTGCCACGTCGTCATCGTAACTTTTGGATTTACGGTCCAACACACCACATTGTTGCATCACGTGTTCTCCGTGAATAAGATCAAACGACTCCAATTTCGTGACGGATGTCGGTGGAGTCAAGCAATTTTCCTGTAGGGCCCACACGTAATTTCAGGGACAGTTTCGTCCACCAAAATGAAAAACAACAAAAGAACCAAATCATAATAATATCAGGATCATAACATAACTAAAGCTTAGTGTTTAGAGTATAGAAAAGTTATAATTGTATACCAATATATTCCGAATTTTAAGGGATTTTTAACAGATACTGTATACAAATATGCCTCCCATCCACCAAATTGCATTCTACGTACCTCTCCGAATCAAAATATTAAATAACATTTTGATTTTAAGCTTAAAAGGTAAAAGGTTTTTTTACTAGGGCAGCCTTAACTATAACATCAATTTATTTATTCGTACGAAGGGGATTTGACTTATTTGAAAATAATTTTTTTAAAATTGATTTGAAAATAATTTTTTTTGAATTGATTTGAAAATAAATTTAATGAATGAACAATTTATATATTAAAAATATGTCCAACTTTTGGTGTCTTAATGACCATTCCCTTGAATGAGTGTACAGAATATAATAACCTGGTTCAAATCCTAAATCCTACTCCTTTTCCCCTACAATTTCTTCATGATCAAAAATAAAAAATTTATATATTAAAAACAAAAACTTTTGCCCTATTCAAATCTTCTATAATTATTTATTGCCTAAATTACTAATTAGGAGTCATTGAGATTTACGGATTAATATTTAGGGAGATTAAATGAAGAAAAAATATTTATTTTTCTTAAAATGAAAAAAGAAAATAATTATAGATAATTTTTTTATAATTTTTTTTGTACAATTTTATTTTTTTAAATAATTAATTTTTTTAATTTATTTAAAATTAAATAAAATTATAGTGATTCATTCAATTAATTATATGTAAAAAAAGCATAAAAATATTATATAAAACAAAAATGCTCTAATTAAACTGATAATATTATATAATTAATATTTTTTATTTAAAATTTATAAATAATATTCTATACATTTTTTTGATATTACAATATATTTATTTAATACTATATAATTATTATAAATTTATAACTTTATATAATATCATAACTATAACATTTTAGAATAAAAAACTTAAATCCATACATGGTTCTGATCTCCCTTAAAATTCAGTTGAAGGGAGAGAATAAGGTCAGCTAGGGACCACATCACAGCTGGAAAGAATGTCCACCTGCCACATTTTCACAGGAGCTTTTGGATCTACAGTCATGAGTATTACTCTTACAACATTTACCATCAAATCGAACGATTCTGACATTGTGAGTCCATTTTGCTTCAATTGTATCATAATTTAGCATCATTTTTTATTTAAATATGCATCAAATTTATCACTAATACATATTTTACCGATCAATATTATCATTTAAGTCATGACAGTTAGTCAATAACCACAATCACAAATTTCTTAATATATATATTATTATTCATCAATCATCAGCCCAAAAATTATCTACCTTTTCCCGTTGTCATTTAGCATGCTTTTTGGCTATTTCCATTTGTTGTAATTTGATTGGAATTCTCAGTTGTCAGTATCTGTTAGAATATGAATGATACTGCTTCCTTTCAATCAGAATCTACCAAGTAGTCGCACCCAGATCAGGATATGAGCATGCTACGACAGCAAATGATACTACTCATTAAAACATATCTCTAATAGAGAAAATTAAAGATGCAAGTATTTTGGAAAACAAAAGCATCCAGATATGTAAGCTCTTTGAGAGCACAAAAGATTTAATTCATTACTCACAGCATCCTCCATCCTTGAATGGACGATGGCTTTGAGCTTGATTGAGCCAACTCTATTTTGTTGAATGTTGAAACCACATCGCTTTGAGCGTAATTACTCTTGGAAGGTCCTGAGATTCCTATAGCTTTTGGTTAAATAGCTGTAATGTTTACAAGAGTTCCATCATCATAAATTGCAGAAATTGGGGATGAAGGTGGGAAGCTCCAGTGCAAAGCCGATTGCAAGGATTTTGCTACTCTATGATAGAGGTAGAACCAAGTACCAAATTCTCAAAAATTTGAACAAAAATATAATATTATTACTCTTTTTGTCTCTGACATCTCTTATATATTCACAAAGGAGGTTATTTACAAAGCTGTTTCAAACTGCATCGAAGCAAAGTAAGGTGGAAATCTGGAAGCAAATAGCCTATTTTGGAGTTTGGATTTCTCATTAAAACACAAAAATTGTGTGGCAGTCCTCCACCATCCAGTGCACAATAGAATGTGGTCAATAACCAGAAATCAATGATAATAACAAATTGAATCAATGATAAACAGAGTTAGACAGTGAAATGACTAAATTTGAAAGATCTATGCACCTGGAAGACCAGTCACATAATGCAAAGTGGTACTCTCTAAAAGGTATGAAGCATGGATATTGGTTTAACTTCTCTCCCACACTCCTTTTCCTGTTGCCCTTCACCATTGGAAGCTATCTTAAAATTAACACCATGAGCATCATCATTAATACCCCCTTCTTCAACTGCTTCACCATCATCAGCACAAATAGGTGCCTCTGCAAGAAGTAAATAAACAAAAGAAAGAAAGGATAAAATTAGCCAAGATTCCATAGAAAGAAGAGATTAAGTATCAGACTCACTCTGGTAATGTGAATTCCAGATAGTAATGTATTAAGTTTGGTCTATAATCTATTGAATGCAAATAAGAATTAATCAATTTAGGCAATGATGCTCTACTTGTACTGCTTATGGTTAAGGAATGAATTATTGGAACTCAGAATTGAATAATTACATCTTCTGGTGTGCAGCTGGATTTCGACTTGGTAATGAACCTGCACCTCCCATCTGAACATGCAAATATCAGATAAAAGTAAAAATTGAACTTAGAAAAATTGTTCAGAATGAAACCATATGCAATATAAGATAAAAGAAACTACAAAGCATGTTATGTTATTATGGTTGCAGGTGAATCATAATATTAATTTTGAAGGTCAATTTAAGATCGAAATACAGATACAGATAGAAAATGAACACAGCGAAATCAATACTCACAAATTGGAGTTTATGACAACAAATCCTGTGCAAAAATTGGCATTTTGCAATACTGATAGAAAATGATACCACTTAGGAGCACTTGGGGTTCATCGGAGAGCACTTGTGGTTCATCGGAGACAGGAGCTTGGGACTTTTCTTGCCAATTGCCAACCGATTGTGCCAAAATTGGCATTTTGCAACACTGAAATTGAAATCCTGCATGTTTTTCATTTCAATGATTTTACTTCCAACTCAGACAGAAAAGAAAAAAGTAAATTTAAATATTCTAATTACTTATTATAAAAAATTAAACAACTCAATACATTTATTAGAACCAACTACCAAATTCTCAAAAATCTGAACAAAAATAACTATACCCAGAAGGAACCCATTTAAGAAAATAAGAAATCCCTAAGACCAGCCACCAAAAATCCAAATAGAAACAAAACATTTCAGAAAATCTGCAGTAGATTTTGGAATTACGAAAATGGAACAAGAAATATAAAAAAGGAGTTAAAGAGTTAAAATCATAATAATTCATACATAGATAAAAGAGATTTTGGCGAGAAGCTCAAGTGAAATTGGGGAAGCAGAGATTGGACTCAACTGGATCTCTTCCATCCAGAAGGGTTTCAGAATCAGAATAACTGGAGGAGAAAAGGAGAAAGAAGGGTTTTACTGGCACGTGCTATTTGGGGCCACACGTGACTTACTTGGACATGTCAGCTACGTATGTTGCCGCTCATCCTGGCCGTCCGTTAGAGTCGCTGCCATGGAAATTTAAGTTGATGATTTCTTACTCTGGATCCCTTCAATTCAACAGAAATTGTTTCCTTCCATCTAGATTGCAAATGATAGAAGAGGAATTGGAAAACAGATAAAATAAATAAATAAATAAAATCAACATTCTTAAAATTAGAAATTGAATACTTAATCAATCAACACCTTACCCCTCAATTATCACCAGCGAGAATATTTCAAGAAAGGTTGAAGTAGGTTCTTATGATCCCACTCCACTGATTCCCACCATTCTTTTGACTCTTCATTCATCTTGATTTCTCTAAGATGAGGAGGAGGAGATGGCTGGCCATTATCAAGCAGGGGAAGCTGCACAGGGATCCTCTTTAACTCCCGACATCTCTCTATCCAAATTTCTTCAATAGAATCACAAACCATAACTCCTTTGGCACTGCAGATGCTCTTCAGTTGGGGTAAATCATGCAACCATAATCTCCTTAACTTGGGAAAAGTGAATTTATCCGATGATGCATCTGAATCTGATGATGCTATTATCTCCTCCATTTGTTCACAACTGATAACTACAATCTCCTCTAAGTTTTGGAAGGCTTGCAGCAGCTCAAGTGGAAGCAACTTCCTCATTCCTGAACAATACGAAATATGAAGCTTTTTAAGATTGGAAAAGACGTGCGGTGGTGTTGCTACTGTTAAGTGGGAAAATCCCACATAAAGTATAAAAATAATAAGCTTGTGGGTTAAATACAAGGAGGGCTACTCCACCTATTGCCAATTGGTTTTAGGTTAGATGCAAGCCTTGTGTTGAGCCCACATGCAGGATTTTCAATATGGTATTAGAGCCCAGGTTTTGGTTGTTAGCCCACCTGACAGGACCCGAAGTTGATACCTGCAATTAAGGGGGCGTGGTAACCCACGTGATCCTTAAATACAAGGAAGGCTACTCCACCTATTGCCAATTGGTTTTAGGTTGGATGCAAGCCTTGTGTTGAGCCCACATGCAGGATTTTCAATAGCTACTCCTTCCACTCTCACAAGTACACTCAATTTAGGCAATTTCTGAAGATGTAGCTCTTCAAGCTTATCCAGTACTAGACAGGAGGATGAGTCCAAGTCAACGACGCACTCCATATCTTCACAAGACTCAATATTACAATAACTCAACTCGGTTGCCTTTTCTAACAAAGCTGCCTTATTTAAGCCGCTTCTCATGTTTCTACACCGCACTATCTCCAGCCTCTGAAGGTTATCTGGAAGCACCATACATTCTTCTCCTAAGTCACAATAATTAATACTAACCATAGCTTCCCTTTGAGTAGCCAACGGATATTCGAGTCTTTCTCCTACTTTAATAAAGTAATCAGTAAGAATTTGGAAATCTTGAGACTTGACAAAATAATTGTAGCCTTGTATGTTATCGAATACACCATAAAAGGTCTCCAACTTGCTCAATCTCACAACCTCATCTCCTTTTATCTCCAATATTCCATAAAATGACAAGTATTGGAGATTGGAAAGGTTTGATAACATTCCCATTGGAATCTCTTCTAGATTGTCACGCTCACTTAAATTAAGATACCCTAGACTAATCAATTTCTCCGACCACCTCAATCCTGGATCTAAACAGATCCAACTTCTTTAATGCCGTAAGCTTTGCTAAAGGAGGCAAATGCCTTAACCTCCTACACCGCCTTAACCTCAGGGAAGAGAGCTTCTCCAAGTTTGAGATGGAATTAGGTAAAGCTTCAATACCAGTAAAAGAAAGATCAAGAACCTTCAGTTCAGGCATACCTTCAAAGAAGGATTTTGGGATCTCGGACAAATTAGGATTATTTGACAATATCAAAGTTGAAAGAGTTGGACACTTTGGGCACAACCCAAGGGAAATTTTTGGTATGTTATTCTCCATTAGAGACGCCTTCTTAAGATCATTTCCCCACCCACGCTCATCTAGTACCTCTGTCAATTTCATACCAGCTTTTACCATATATCCAAATTCAGGACCAATGCTTTTGATAGCCATGTATCTCATTACATCATGCATCTTGAAAACATCAACACCATGCCAATCAACAGTTTTCTCTAACAAGCACTTCTTTACTAGCATATTTAAAAAGGCATGACCCCTATCATAAGCTGCTTTTCTACTGGGCAACACATCAATTAGTCCTTCATCAATCCACCCTTCTACCAACCCTTCTGTCTGAAATGGATAATCTTCAGGAAACAAGGAGCAATAAAGAAAACAGCTTTGGATTTCAAAATTATTCAAACGATCATAACTAAACCTTAACCTCTTAAATATCTTTTGATCTGACCCAGTCAAGCTCTTTACCCCTTCTTGTAGTTCAGTTAAAGCATTCTTCCACACATGAACATCATCCTCTCCCTTCATACTCTCTGCTATCACAACAATGGCCAATGGTAAACCATCACACTCCTCCACGATGAGCTTCAAGATTCCTTCTAAATTTGGTACTTGTTGGAGTTAATCCCGATTTTAAAGCTAATTGTTTTTGAATGAGTCCTAATTAGTGGAGTTTATGTGTCCTACTATTGTGGTTGCTGATAACCACGTTTCCTTATCTTTAAGTTTTAGTTTGTAGTGGCTAGAAAATAGGAGTTTATGCTTTATTAGCCTATTATAAATAGGCAGTTGTTATTCAATTTAAGGTGTAATCATCTTTATCTATTTCCAGCAATAGAAGTGTCTTTTTCTTCCTCTGTTCTGCTCTGTTTTTGGTTGTTTTGCTTTTATCTCTTCTGCTACTTCAGTACTTGCAGAGCATGATGCCCAACTTTATCTAAGAATAAGTTAAGAGACTCCTGAAATGAAAGAGGCTTCACTTTGACTATCTCACAGTCCATTTTTTGGCACACATCAATGGATCTACTAGTGATGACTATTTTGCTTCCATTCTGAATTGTTGGTTCTGGAATTCCCACTTCAATCAGAGAAAACTTTTCCCAGACATCATCTAGGATAAGCACATGCCTTACTCTTCCCATAACACTCTTTAATTCAGCTACCCGCCTCTCTTTATCCTCACCTCCAGGGAGTCTCTGTCTATCATCTCCAACGATAGCACGAGCAATATTTTCTTGTAATTTAATTACATCAAGGGGGTAAGATACAGTGACCCAAATCACTTTATCAAACTTAGCCTCCCTCACCAGTTCATCATTGATATGCTTCATAATAGTAGTCTTTCCAACCCCACCAATCCCACAAACTCCAATCTTTCTAACTTCATTGCCCACCAAGTATCCCCTGATTTTTTCTTTTGCAGAAT